AAAAAAAAAAAAAAAAATTGTTTTTCAGACTCTTAAGTTTAAACCCAAATCAGAAATATCTAGTAAGGTTTTGTTTGCATGTACAATTCAGAGAACCACAATCTGCTTATAAGTTTATTTTTAAGAGGTCAACATGTACTCAACACAAACAGGTAAACAGATTCTTTATTACCCTGTTCAGCAATTTCTGAACCATGTAAAGGCTCCTGGAAAGGAGAATCCTCCATTTTTTTCACGTCCACTTGAAGCTCAGAGTATTGTGTGGGGCAAATGGGCCACTGCAAATTGCTGGCAAGCCTTGCTCTCTCCTCCCTGGCTGTAGGGTCATCCCAAATGATCTGTTCATTTTGAGAGGGCTCTGTGTTTATATCAGGTACTATTTGACGAGACTGCCTAAGAAATAAAAACAACCATTATAACTGATCAGATCCCCTGTGAAGCCACTGTGGTGACCCCAAGTGTTTCAGAGGAGAACTGTGCTCTACAGGGTTTTTTCAATGCCTGACTTGTTGGAAGGAGACTGCCCGGCCTTTCTTCCAGGGTGCTGCTGGGTGGATTCAAATCACCAAGTTTTTGGTTAGTAGTTGAGAGCAAACTGTTTGCACCACCCAGGTATCTTAAGTAATTAGATAGCCATAACAAAGTTTACACTCACAGAGTTCATAATTTAGACTGTAAAATCTGTGTTCACTATTATCCTTGGTAGTACCCCCACAAAAAACTTATTTACCTCAAAAAAGAAAGGAAGATAGACTTTTAATCTCAGAGTGTATTTATTTACCCTGACAGCGTAAGATTTAAGCTCTCTACAGTGACATCTAAGACCTCTGGTTGTACAGTGCCTAAGGCAACCAGAAGATTGGTGGTTCAAACCCACCAGCTACTCTGCAGAAGAAAGATGGAGCAATTTACTTCCATAAAGATTTACCGCCTCAGAAACCCAATGGGAGTCACTATGAATTAGAACTGACTCAATGGTCGTGAGTTTGGTTTTTTTTATAGTGACATCTATAACAAAAAGTCACTTTCACTGCATATTTAGATTTAAAAAATCTGGCTTCATGGTTAATGTAAGAGAAATAATAAGGTCAATTATGATCAAGTCAAGATAGCAGTCTCATAACATTCATCATTAGAGATTTTTCTTCTATCAGGAAAAAGATGAACATATGCTACTAACTTTAATCCTATCACACTAAGGTCTGTAATTATCTTTCCTATAAGATAAGGGATACAAAATGCTTGCTAAGTTCCTATAAGAAATATCTGTTTCAAATTACACATATACACACATGCACATATATTCACTATTTAATACTAATAACTACAGAACAGAGAGAACTGCCCACTGAATGTATTTCAAATGAGGCAAATTATCATAAAATCATTTCTTAGGGGAGGCAATGAAAAGTATGATATATATTGTTTGGACTAAATAAGGGGAGAATAATATAATCTTTTCACTTGTCTTGATATTTTGGTAACTTTGGCTTTATTACTTAAAAAAGGAAAATTAGTCGTAACTCATGAAAACTGTATCAGCAGGACCTTTAGTAAGGGACTACCATTCCCTCAAATTATCTGGTCCCATCATCAACACACACACATACCTCAGTGCCTCTAGGACTCTACTTCGTCCACTGCGGACAGAGCGAGCGCTGTCGGGAGTTGAAGAAGCACTGTTACAACCACTTCTTGAAAGGGAAGTCCTCTGCCCTTGGAGTTTCACTATTGATGTTGCAGACATTATCTCCTGCAGCTGCTTTTGGATGTTCTGTCTCATCTCCAAGGTCTGTGTCAGAGCTTGAAACAAACACAAAACACCAATATCAAAGTGAGGTTCAGAGCATAAAGGCAGCCATTAACTAGAAGGAACTGTGCATGAAATGACCAGGCATGGCCTCTTCTAGAACTCCATGCTTTATTCTGTCCCCTTTAAGATAATGCTTCTCACAATCATGTGTATATGTGTCTGAATTTTTCCAATGGTCCTTGAAAACACAAACCACAACCTATTTTAGTTTTCTTAAAGACTAAACACTGAAAAATTCATTGCCACTGAGTCAATTCTAACTCAGCTTCCCTACAGGACAGAGGAGAGCTGCCCTGTAGGGTTTCCAAGGCTATAAATCTTTACAGAAACAGACTGCCTCATCTCCTGTGGAATGGCTGGTGGGTTCAAACCACCGAGCTTTTGGTTAGCAGTCCAATTTAAAACCACAGTGCCACCAGAGCTCTTTAAACACTAAAATAGGTATTAAATAACTACTTCTGGAATAAACAGAGTATGACTAATTAAATAGTTAAGTCATAGGGAACGGTATGGTAGGGCAAAATAAGTATGGCAAACAGGAAATAGCAATCCATAAAAACAGGGTAATATATACAGGTAAGGTTATTGACTGCAGCACTATTTATAATAACAAAAAAGTAGAAATAAACTAAATGTCCATCAACCGGGACAGGCTAAATAAACTAGGGCCATCCAAACAATACTACACAGTTGCCCACACTCCCAACACCTCTGAAAAAAGACTGAAGAAGCTCCTTACAAACTGATTATCAAACAATCTCCAACTTGAATTGTTGAACAAAAAAATCAAGGTCAAGGTATACAACAGCATATAAAACCAGTAAACCAGTTGTCATTGAGTCATTTCAGACTCATGGTGACCCCATGTGTGTCAGAATAAAGCTGTTTCTATTCTAGGGTTTTCAATGGCTGATTTTTTTGGAAGTAGGCCACCAGGCCCTTCTTCCAAGGTGCGTGTGGGTGGATTCAAACCCCCATCCTTTCAGTAAGAAACCGAGTCATTATCATTTGCACCACCCAATAACTCCATCAAGATGAAGGTACAAAACAACATAGTGTCCACCATTTATGTTTGGGAAGAATGACAAGTCCATCCAGCTCGGCAACAATTGGCCACTGAAAACCTTATGAATAGCAATGAAACTGTCTGATATACTACTGGAAGATGAGCCCCTCACATTGGAAGGCACTCAAAATACATATGGGGAACAGCTGCCTCCTCAATGCAGAGTTGACCTTAATGATGTAAATGGACTAAAGCTTTTGGGACCTTCATTTGCTGATGGGGCACCACTTAAAATGAGAAGAAGCAGCTGCAAATACTCATTAATAATTGGAACGTGGGATGTATAAAGTAAGAATCCAGGAAAAATAGAAGATGTCAAAATGAAATGGAATGCATAAAGATCAATATCCTAGGCATTAATGAGCTGAAATGGACTGGTACAGGCCATTATGATTCAGAAAATCATATGGTCTACCACACTGCTAACAACAAATTGAAGAGGAATGGTGTGGCATCTATCATCAAAAAGAACATTTCAAGATCTATCCTAAAGTATAATGCTGTCAGTGATAAGATAATATCCATACGACTACAAGGAAGACCAGTTAATATGACTAATATTCAAATTTACACACTAACCACCAAAGCAAAAGATAAAGAAATTGAAAGTTTTTTTTACCAACTTCTGCAGTCTGAAATTGACCAAACATGCACTCAAGATGTACTGATTATTGCTGGAAAACAAAGAAGAATCATCAGTAGTTGGAAAATAAAGCCTTGGTGATAGAAATGATGAGAGATCACATGACAGAATTTTACAAGACCAATGACTAATTCATTACAGATAATTTTATTCAACAACATAATCAGCAGTCATAAATGGTGACTTCGCCAGATGAAATACACAGGAATCAAATCGATTCCATCTGTGGAAAGAGGTGATAGAGAAGCTCAATATCTTCAGTCAAAACAAGATCAGAAGTTGACTGTAAAACAATCAATTGCTCTTATGCAAGTCCAAGATGAAGCTGAAGAAAATTAAAACTAGTCCACGAGAGCCAAAATATGACGTTGATTATATCCCACCTGAATTCAGAGATCATGTGAAGAGTAATTCTGATGCACTGAACACCAATGACCAAAAACTACACATCTAGAACATCATACATGAAAAAAGCAAAAGGTCACTGAAAAAAGCAGGGAAGAGAGAAAAGACAAAAACGGATGTCAGAAGAGACTCTTAACGGAGAATAGCTAAAACAAATGAAGAAATAAAAGAGCTGAACAGAAGATTTCAAAGGGCACCCTGAAACAACTAAGTAAAGTATTATAATGAAACATGCAAAGACCTGGAATTAGAAAACCAAAAGGAAAGAACATGCTAAGCCATTTCTCAAGCTACAAGAACTGAAGAAAAAATTCAAGGCTCAAGTTGCAACATTCAAAGACTCTCTGGGCAAAATACTGAATGATGCAGAGAAAGCATCAAAAGAAGATGGAAGGAATACACAGAGTCACTGTACGAAAAAGAACTGGTCAGTATTCAACTATTTCAGGAGGAAGTATATGATCAAGAAGCAACGGTACTGAAGGAAGAAGTCCAAGCTACACTGAAGGAACTGGTGAAAAACAAGGCTACAGGAATTGACGGTATACTCATTGAAATGTTTCAACAAATAGAAGCAATGCTGGAGGTGCTTACTTGTTTATGCCAGGAAATTTGGAAGACAAGTACTTGGCCAACTGACTGGAAGAGATTGATATCTGTGCCCATTCCAAAGAAAAGTGATCCAACAGAATGTGGAAATTATTGAACAATAACATACACAAGTAAAATTTTGCTGAAGATCATTCAAAAATGGTTGAAGTAGTATAATGACAGGGAACGTCCAGAAATGCAAGCTGGATTCAGAAGAGGACATGGAACAAGGGTTATCACTGCTGATGGGCTATCACTGTTAATGTGAGATGGATCTTGGCTGAAAGCAAAGACTACCAGAAAGATGTTTACCTTTGTTGTACTGACTACACAAAGGCATTTGACTGTGTGGATAACAAATTATATGTAACACTGTGAATGGGAATCCCAGAAAACTTAATTGTGCTCATGAGGAACTTATACATAGACTAAGAGGCTGTCATTTGAAGAGAACAAGGGGATACATAGACTAAGAGGCTGTCATTTGAAGAGAACAATGGTTTAAAATCAGGAAGGGGGTGTGTCAGGGTTGTATCTTTTCACCATACTTATTCAATCTGTGTGCTAAACCATAATCCGAGAAGCTGGTCTGTATGAAGAAGAATGTGGCATTAGGATTAGAGGAAGACTCATTAACAACTTGTGATATGCAAATGATACAAACTTGTTTGCTGAAAGTGAAATGACTTAAAGCACTTAACGATGAAGAACAAAAACTAGTCTTCAGTGTGGATTACACCTCATCATAAAGAAAAGAAAAATCCTCCCACAACTGGACCAATAAGCAACATAGCAAAAAACGGAGAAAAGACTAACCTTGTCAGTGATTTCATTTTACTTGGATCTATAATCAATACCCATGGAAGCAGCAGTCAAGAAATCAGATGTTGTACTGCACTGGGCAAATCTGCTACAAAAGACTGCTTTAAAGTGTTAAAGAGCAAAGCTCTCACTCTGAAAACAGGTGCACTTAACTCAAGCCATGGTATTTTCAATTGCCTCATAAGCATGTGAAAGCTGGACAAGGAAAAAGAAAGACCAAAGAAGAACTGATCCCTTTAAATTGTGGTGTTGGTGAAGAATACTGAAAATACCATGGATTGCTGAAAGAATGAATAAATCTGTCCTGGAAGAAGAGCAGCCAGAATGCTCCTTAAAAGAAAGAATGGTCAGACTTCATCTCACTTACTTCGCTCAGGTTGTCAGAAGGGACCAGCCTCTGGAGAAGGATATTATGTTTGGTAAAGCATAATAGAGTCAGCAAAAATGGGAAGACCTTCAACAAGATGGTTTGACACAGAGGATGCAACAGTGTGTCAAGGATAGCAAGGATTGTGAAGATGGCAAAGGACCAGGCCAGTTTTTTGTTCTATTGCATATAGTGTTGCTATGAGTCGGAGACAAATCGATGGCACCAAGCAACAACAACATTTATATATTTAAAAAAGAAGTGGGAGTTTAGGACCATAGTCTCATGGTAGAACTAAGTGAACTGGCATAATATAGTTCATAAAATTTATGTTCTACATCCTAATTTGATGACTACTGTCTAAGGTCTTAAAAGCTTAAAGACTCAGAGAAGAAACTGGTCTATAGGACTAACAGTCCACACAAACCATGACCTCATCTATGCTGAGACCAGGAGAACTATATGGCACCTCGCTACCACTAAAGACCATTCTAAGCCACACAAAAGATGGATCCTGAATAGAATGGGAGAAAAATGTGGAAGAGAAGTAAAATTCTTACAAAGTCCAGTCAGGCTAGAGGACTCTCCAACTCTACTGCCCTGATATATTTCTTAAACCTTAAACTGAAACTACCCAATGAGGTCACTTTTTAGCTAAAAGACTGACTCAGAAATATAATATCCGTGAGCACTGGCACCTTTAAAAAAAATCTACATGAGATCAAATAGTCAGTAATTATTCTAAAGCAAAGATGAAAGAATAAGAGAACAGGGAAATCAGATTACTAGAAACAAAACATCCAGAACTCAATTACTGAGAAGGTTGAGACTTTGTAAAAAAATGTAACCAAAGTCACTAAACAATCTGTATAGTAATTGTTAAATAGGAATCTAATTTGCTGTGTAAACTTTTGCCAAAAACACAATAAAATATTACCAAAAAAAAAAAAAAGGTAGAGAAATAAAAACCATGTATTTATGCATGAAAAACAGCTCTGAAAGGATACGTAAGAAACAAGTAACACTGTCAGGCTACAAGATAAGAGTAGGACAAACTCTTCCTACCTTCTTCTGCATCTCTAGAACCATGTGAATACATACTGTATATATAAAACTTCTTGAAAAATCAATGAAAAGAATTGAAACAAAGAATATACTTTTCAAAAGATCACCAACTCCACCCACCTTCAAAAGACTAGGACTATCATCAGACTAACTCCAGAATACCTAGTTACATAAACTTCACAAACTACATTTAAATCAAGGGAGCCTGGGTGGATCAAGTGGTTTGCGGTTGGCTGCCAATGCAAAGGTTGGCAGTTTGAAATCTCCTTCCCAAGCTGCTCTGAGGAAAAAAGGTCTGGCAAACTGCTTCCATAATAATTATAACCAAGAAAATCCTGTGGAGTACTTCTATTCTGTAACAAATGGGGTTACTGTAAGTCAGGGGTCAACTCAAAGCAGCTAACAACAACATATATAAAACACTTAAATATTTTTCAGTGAATGAAAAGCTTTCCAAGTTACTATTTCAAATCACTCCTCAACTACATGTTTTATTTATATTTAATAAAACAGAAAATATTTCTCCATCTTATGCAAAAGAGGCATTCTATATCAAAGATACAAACTTATAAAAAATAATTTTTTGTAATTTAAAATATTTACCTCCTTTAGTGTCATTCTTTCCACTTCCATTTGATAGTGCAGATTCTTTATTATTGATGGTCATATTATCGATATCATTTTCTTCTAATGGCAAATGATCCGGCTATTGAAGGGGAAAAAGTACAATTTCTCAAACCAAACCACTGTATACAGATTCCACAGCAATATGATTATACATTCGGCTTAACTTCCCCCGCCCCCCCACCCATCAAAAAACCCAATGCCATTGATTCTAATTCATGGCAAGCCTATAAAACAGCGCAGAACTGCCACATAGGATTTCCAAGACTGTAAATCTTTAAGAAAGCAGACTGCCTCATGTTTCTCCCTCAGAGCAAGGGGTGGGTTTGCACTGCTGACCTTTTGGTTAGCAGTCGAATGAATGCTTTAACCACTACACCACCAGAGCTCCTTCATTCAGCTTGAGGAGAAGTTAAACGTATCATACATACTGTCTACCTCATCATCCTTTGTTGTTGAATCAGCTGAGAGTAGTCGACTATTACAGAGTCTGCCATCTTGCACTGCACTGATATCCAGGCTCATTTTGGGATTAAAAGTATGTGGATAAAGAGATTCAGGAAGATGCTTATACTCTTGGGCACACTGTAATACAATGGTGCATTTTAAGACACTACTGAAAGAAATCTTAGTGAATAAAAGGAAGATGTTAAGTGGGATAAGGACAATCAGTACATTATGTCCTAAGATGGCAAAAGTTCACAAAACTAGTATTTTGAAAAGTAGTTTACTCTGTAAAATTCTACCACATAGATGACAATTAAAATAGCCTTAGTTTCTTAATCTCATGGTCATTAATGTCTGAAATCTAATTCTATTTCTGTGCTTTGGCCATGCCTATCACACTTCAGGGAAATGCACCAAAAGGGACAAAAAGAAAGCACAGTTCTAAACTGTACTGGTACACTAACCTGTCAAATCATCTAAAAATTTTCATTAATAATTTTTAATCAGTGAAAGGAATCAGAGAATCAGCAAGAGGGGGATCCATTAAAGACTGGTAAGTGTTTAAGGAATAAAGATCTCGCGTTTTAGATGCCAAAGAGGTGAAATGTACATAAATAACCAAGATTTTCAAAGTTGTTTACATACTCTGAAACTGGTTTGTGCTCTGACAGGACGTTTAGTGAAAATTTTTATTGTACAGAAGAGAGAAAGAAAAATACTGCTTACTTCTAAAAGCCAGTGCTCCGAAACAATATGTATTCCTTTTTCTTTTACAGATTTATACTCCCGATTAGTGTCATTTGGTCGTCCTTGATAGATGAAATGGGTCACTGTTTCATCAAAACTCCACCTGAAATAGCCAAATTGAAAAAAAAAAAAAAAAAAAAACCCCAAGTAACTAACAGAAATATCCCTATTAGTTTAAGATGATCACTATTCATCACGTATAGAATACTGACTTCCCAAAACTTTTACAAGTATATTAACAGTAAGCAAAAACATTAAAATGCCAGGTGCCATCCTTTTTTAGAATTTTATACATGTATCTCTAGGCATATAAATGCAGTGAATGTTTGAGAGGATGTTCTTTGAAAGATCACTTTCTTCTTTATCGTTTTCTTAATTGTGTCAATTTTCTCCATTATAATGAATATCTACCACTTTACAATAACAATAAAGGTATTTTCAAATTTAATAAAAAGGCAAAGCATCCAATCTCTTCTCCTTTGCTGGCAGTCACCACTATTCACTGTACATTTGTTCTAGCCACACACGATGTACTTTATATCATTATCTCATCCATTCCTCAACAGCAATACTGAAACATAGGTATTATTATATCCATTTTATAGACATGGTAAAAGCAACCTGTTCAAGGATACTAAATGGTAGAACCAACTCTTAGCTACTACATTATGCATTATCCTGATTCTTCCTATGCAATATTCTACTAGCCTAAGAACATAGCTTAAGAAATGTAAAAATATCATCCTTAAAAGATTAAGTAAATAACAGAGAATAAGAAGTAAGAAATTCTTATTTCTAAATATAATCACCAATATAAATAAATAAAGTTTCTCTTTCTGGACACTTACTATGGTTGCCATTTCCTAAATAAGAAATCTCTCTGAACCTTTAAAATAGTTAAGCAAATTAAGATATGATATTTCTCTCTAAATTATATTACAAACATCTCTATTTCTAGGTGCTATGATATCCTTAAAAATAATATTAAAAATACCTAGCCTAATTTAGTTAATGCTGCTAGTAAGTGACTCTTTTCTGTTGTTGAGAAAAAAACAATAAATTTAAATGAATTATTAAGATAATTAACAAAAATAGGAGTGTTTATGCCTGAATCACCTGGCCTATACCATTCAACTCTACTGTAATAATATGGATACTAAGAGTCTTTACACCTGAGAAGTCCTTCAAGAATAAACTGTCATTATTTGTATATGGTCTAGATTAGACCATCTAGGGCTGGTAACATAGTGGCTAAAGCACTTGACTTCAAACCCACCAGCCACTCCTCGGAAGGAAGGTTGGGCAATCCTACTTCCGTAGCGATACTGCCTCGGAAACCCAAGGAGGGGTTGCTATGAGTCGGGCCGACTCGACGGCACATAACAAGAACAACAACAGGGCTGGTAAACTTTTTCTTAAAGGGCCAGGTGGGAAATATCTTAGGCTTTGCAGAACAATCTGTCACTACTACTAAACTCTTATTTTTTGCATAAAAGCAGCCATAGTCATTATGTCAATGAAAAAGCTTATCTGTGTTCCAATAAACTTTATTAACAAGAATGCAGGGCTTACCCTACAGTTGTTTGCTGACCCATGGTCTAGGACAGTGCTTTCAGCAGAAGTGTTACTTTATCTTAGGGGATATTTTGGAAATTTATGGAGTGTTTTTGTTATTACAATATGTGTATATACATGGTTGGGTAGGGTCCAGGAATGCCAGAAATTCTGGGGATAGTCACACATAATACACAATTATCCCATGTCCTGAAAATTTTCTAACATCTTGACAGAAATTCACATAGGTGAAAGAACTTAATTTTCTTACCTATGAGTCTGGAACCGGTTTTACATATAAACACAATTCCCCCCGCCTCCAATTTTAATACATGCTGATATTCTAGAAACATAACTATTGTGTATTATGTAAATGGAAAACTATACTTTGCTTATTTGGAACTTTGGGAAAATCACATTACCAACAGAAAGATAGCTCATAGTAGCTGAGTCTCTCTACCTGCCTCAGCTCTGTGACTGCTGCATGAGATGATTTTACATATATGTGCACATATGAGACTACTCTATTATCTTCCAGTGCCATCAAGCTCAGGCATTTGCATACTAAACACAAGTTCTTTTATTATTACATGTTTCCTGTTTCTTTTATGTATCAAGCACTAGCCTGACTTATTTTTTAAGATTATAAACATATGCAGGTTATAATATTTATGAATTTCATTTTAGTACAGGGAATGTTACAAAAATATTTGTAATAAAAACAGGATGCTGTATCTGGTGAGTTGAAAAGATCTGGTCTGATGTTACCTGTCTGAAGACAGGACAGAGCATCAGATGATCTCTTCAGGATGGTCTGGTTTTAGCTCATGGAAGAATAGCAAATGATTTGGGATAAGTTCACTTGAGAACTGATTACCCTATGAATACATTAATATAAACTCACATATTAAAGGGTATATTCCCTCTTATCCATTACCAAATATGAGAAATCTGTTTCAGAAAGACAAATTTAATGCAACTGAAAAGTTAGAGTCCAAAGCAGCCTTGTATTCCCTTTTAGGGATTTGGGCAATATATTCCATTTAACTATACTGAGAGAGTTGGCATTTAAAATTTTACAAAAACTCAAGTCATACGTCTTCCCTTTTAAGTCTTAAATCAACTTCACATAATATATATTCCCTCATAGTCTACTGTGAGAAAGAAATGAGATAAAGCTTGACCCATACTAAGTGCTCAGTAGGTAAATATAAATATAATCAATGGTAGTTATAAGGAGCCCTGGTAGCACAGTGGTTAAATGCTTGGCTGCTAACCAAAAGCTTGGTGGTTTGAACCCACCAACTGCTTCACAGGAGAAAGATGTGGCAGTTGGCTCCTATAAAGATTACAGACTTAGAAACCCTGCAGGGCAGTTTTACTTTGTCCTATATGGTTGTTGAGTCCGAGTCAACTCAACTCAACCCACTGCCAGAGTCGATTTTGACTCACAGCAACCCCTACTGGGTTTCTTTACAGAAGTAGATTGCTTCATCTTCCTCCCATGGAGCAGCTGGTGGGTGTGAACTGCCAACCTTCTTGTTAACAGCCAAATGCTTTACCCACTATGCCACCTAATATAAATAATAAATAGCAATAGTAAGTAATAAGTTGCACTATTCCACAATATATGCATTAAATGCTAAGTTAACTATAACTGCTATAGAAACATTTTATTTTTATATACAAATTATCAATTTCAATTTCTTCACCAAATTAAAAGCTAACTAAATAGGACTTACCAAAGGGGAAGGAGCTCTGGTGGTGTAGCGGATAAGGCATTTGGCTGCTAACCAGTGGTTCAAAACCACCAGCTGCTCCACAAAAGGAAGATAGGGCAATCTACTTCCGTAAAGATTTACAGCCTCAGAAACCCAAAGGGGGTCGCTATGAGTCGGAATCAACTTGACGGCAGTGAGTTTAAAGGGGAAAATAAAGTAATCATACTCCCCAAACTGCTCATCACTTGGAAAACCAATCGTTATATGTAATCTATGAATGGTTACACACAAGTGATCAAGAAAGTGAGCTCTGCAGATAGTGGAGTAGAGTTAACTTAGAACTGGGTGGAACAGGCGAGGGTCTCAAGCACTGATACCGATGATATTTGTGCAAGTTCTCTCTAGTTTAGTCTGCCAGCCTGAGGACAGATCTGATAATCTATGTCTCCGAAGTAGTGAAAACGATTAAAAGTAAAACATCTTCAAAAAGACTATCTTAGTTAGGGAGTGCTGCAAGAATATTTAGTACTACTCACAGAAGAGCTCGACCCTGAAAACCACTCAAGTGAAAACATGCTTAACCTCAGACTCAGACATATTTACTAAACTCCTTGAAGGAAGGGATTCTTTTAGACTGTACTGTTCATTTATGGATTCAAAGTTTCTAGAATAGTGTCTGACACAAACTAGGGACTCAACTATTTGTTGAAAACACTCTAAAAAATACACATGTGAGTGACTTGCTAGGTGAGAGGGCACTTATAAAAGATGTGGTAAATTAAAAATCACACTGGACAGATTTTGTAGAAAATGACATTAAAAGGCAAAATAAATGTTTCTTTGTAGGTGTTCACAACAGCTTTTGGTTTCTCCATAATTTAGACCAGATCACTACCAACCAGAAATATTTGCCAACTACCTGTAATCTGCTCCAAGAGAGGCTGCAATGCCATTTAGTTCACTCTGCTTTTTACTGAGTTTTTTACTAACGCATACCACTACCTTATGAAGTGGCTTTGGAACTTCTTCCTATAAGAAGAAAATAAAAGAAACACGTCAACCATTATTGTATGAAATGTTTTATCATCTAAAACAGCCTTTTAAATAAGAGACCTAATTTTACCTTCTCGGGTTGGGCATTCTTCAGTTCAGGGCTGGCAGAAAGAGCGACAGCATTTCGAGAGCTGTTTGCCAAAGCCAGTTTCAAGTTTCTGACAATAACTTCTGAGAGTGGTGTACTCAATTTCCTTTTCTGTTGGCTGAGATGTCGTGGAGTTTCCAAGGCTGCAAGTGCATCCTATATGTACAGAGGGGAGAGAGAAAAAGGGAGAAAGCAAGGAAGAGAGGTAGAAAAAGAAGAGAGAAAGAAAAGGGGGGAGGAGGAGGAGGAGAGAGGTAAATAGGATAGGGAAAGAAAAAGAAGAGGAGGAACGGTTAAAGAAAAGGAAGGAGGAAGTAATTCTCAGTATTAATTGAACGTCCTCTGTTTTAATTTCCTTCAAACAATACAAAGAATGAAATATATATCTATACATTATGAAGGAAAAAAAAATCCATTTTCAGCAAACTGGTTCAAAGAGACTTATATTTTTGGGAGTGTTTACCACATTTAACAAAATCTACTTAAAGTCGCAGTTAAAATAAAGGATGAGAAAGAAAACAAGTATGCAAGGAAGGATATAAGCAAGATGAATTATAAGACAATAATATAAGGAAGGTTAAAAAACCAGACTCTGAAAAAATCTTAAAACATTACAAAAACTATACCCCTCTCCCTAAGGTACCCACAGTTCCCTCCTAAGAGGAAGCTACTGTTGCCTGAATGGCTGGCTCCTTCTCTTTCCTATCTAGACAGTATTCCATGCATGCAGCAGAATTATTTAACCAATGTTCAGCTGATGAACATTTAGGTTAACAATCATTTGCTAGTACAATGATGTGATGAGTAACCTTGTACCCACACTATTTTGCACATGCAGAAGTAAAGGGAACCATATGAGCTAAATGTATGTATCAAAGTTGACACTCTGACAAGCCAAGTATGAGCATATATATTTCTACACATACTTGACAGCATAGTGGATAACTGGATTTCTGGGTGTGTATGTGTAGGGTGTGAGGAGCCAATCTGCTACTTCAAAAAAAATATATCTACATGCTTTCATTTTCCATTCTCTTCCGTTAAATGAGTTTAAAATCTATATGTGATGTATATTGTTTTGTGACAGCCACCTGTTCCTATCATTTGCCTATTTGTCTACCAGTTTATTAGTCTTTTTCTTTTATACAATCTTCCTTTATATAATCTTCACTGATTTTTCACATGACATTAACACATTGGTTAAATTATAGTCACAGTAAAACTAGAAAATAAAAATGGAAAAATAAACCCCCAAAATTCTTCCATCTGCAAGTTTATAAACTTTCTATGAAATAACTTTTAGGTTAAAGAAGAAATCCAAACAGAAATCATAAAACTTCTGAAAAATAGTAACAACAAAAATACTACATACTTGAGTAAACAGCATATGGGTATTCCTTGTACTATTTTTATTTGGTAACTTTTAGTAATTAGAAATTATTTCCAAGTAAAAAAACTTAAAAAAAAAAAAAATGTATATGCTTGCTAAGGGTATGGAACACTGGGCATTCTCATACACTACTGGTTAGAGTGTAAACTGATACAATTGCTTACGCAAACGGTTTGCCAAAGTCTACTAAAATTGAGATATGGCCCAATAATTTCACTTCTAGGTGTACACCAACCTGAAATACATGCACACATATCATAAGAGACATGCGTAAGAACATTCATTACCTGTAGAAGCAAAAAACAATGCTCATCAATAGTAGACTGGATACATAAATTATGGCATATTCATATTCAATGAACTATTCAAAAAACAAAAACATCAAACTCACTGCGATTGACTTGATTCTGACTCACAGCAACCCCCACTAGGTTTTCAAGGGTGTAAATCTTTATAGAAGTAAACTGTCTCATCTCTCTTCCGTGGAGTGGCTGGTAGGTTTGAACTAATGGCCACCTGTTTAGCAGCCAGATGCCTTAACCACTACACCACCAGAGGTCCTTAATGAAATACTATAGAGTAATAAAATATGTGAACTATAGATACATGAGTGGCATCATACCAAATGGTAGAGTAGGACACCTGAGAATCAGTCCATCCATTGTCACAAATATAAGTTGGCAAACATGGATTGTCAACTTACTTGTAACTCTGAATGTAGTTTAAAACTTACAGCAAACAGGAGACTGCTAAACGACAAAAAGGACAACTGAATTTTGGTGTTTAAGGAAACCTCTCTCAGGTCACGTGTTGATCACTGAGATAATGAAACAGTATTTCAGTGACCACACATGACAAGGAGTACAGCATTTGCAAAATAGTTTGGAAAAGTCACTAAACAAAAGGACAACTGCAAACTCCAACAATCGACGGCAAATCCTGGAGAAGAAGGAGAATTTGATTGTAGAGTTATAACATTCAAAATATTTAACACAATTTCCAATAGCAAAAAAATCACAAGGTGAGGCAGGGGAAGATGGCGGACTAGGCAGAAGGATTGCACAGACCCTCTTCAACAAAGAAAAGGGAAACCAATTAACACAGA